CTTTTGATAATCTCTTTATTTCCTGATGTTATATTGACATATCAGTGTCACCTCCTCCCTTGACCCTGTCTCAATTTCATACCAACTGCAATAATTATGTACACAGCTTGTCAATTTGTCTCTCCAATTCTAAAACAAATCCTGACTTTGGCCTATCCTTCAACAAATAAGAATATCAATTCCAGTTATATCTGGACTAGTGAGTTACTACTTACTAGCAGTCCAGCACTTTATAAGCATTTTTTAACAGCTAAAAGGAATCTACTCAGCTATCAACATTGAGATGGAGACCGATGGCTCCAAGATAAAGGTGTTCCATTCATGTCAAAATTGATGACATTGTAATACACATGGCTGTAAACTTTATTCTGAGATACATTGTCATTTCTCACCCCAGAACAGCAGAACTACAGTTTTATAAAAATAATTCCACTCCACCTCTTGTGTGGATTCTAGAATAGAGAGGAAGTCACTAGAGCAAACCCTCTATGCCAACAATTTAATCAGGCATACACATGCATGCCAAATTGAAAATCCAAAATTGCAATTTTTCAACTTAATTGTGCTCTTGCTGTCAATAAAAAAAACAACACAGTAATCAGGATTTTAGTTTCCCTCAATAGCTGGGAAATGGGAACCGATACCATTAACATGAAAAATTGAAGCTTAACCCAATATACCCAATTCAAATAATATCACCAAAGTCAGATGCTAGGTAAAAAGTCATCCAAAATAAAACCATTATTCCTAAGATTCTTCAAATGGGTATTTCCAAAATGGTTAATAAACAATATAATCAACCTAATAAAATCCCAAAAATTAATACCAATTCATTTACTTCAATTGGATTTTTTTCCCTCAAACCAACCTTAATTATTAGCTAGGAAATTAATATAAACAACATTTAAAAAAATACAGCTTAACCCCAAATACCCAACTCAAATAAATCAGAAAACCATCCAAATAAATCTCAAATTAAACTCATTTTTAACAAAATTCTCCAAATGGGTACTTCCAAGACTGCTAAAAAATCCAAGATTTCATCTCCAATCAAAAATAAATTTTAAAAAAAATCCCAAAATAAAAATGATAAGCAAAAATTAAGGGAGATGAAATTGACCTAGAAGTAGGGATACCCTTGCAAAGCTGGGTACTACAAGATAAGGCACCTTTGTGTAGCCAAGAATAGGTATCAATGGCAACCCAACAACCCTGTAAATCCTTAATGTGTAATGGCGACATTATCGATTTTAGTTGCGGCAATAGCCCTTGTATCCCCATTTTTTAAGGGCACAAAGCTAATTGAACTAATTCGATGAAAAATGAACGAAATTTAGGAGAGAGAAATTGAAGGGGTTTTTAGGTTAAGAAGAAGAAAGGTTTCAGACTTTCAGATGAGAAAGGCGCCTATGAACTCTGCTGTTGGCGGGAATGTACAGTAGTTTTGGTGTTAGAATTTGTGTTATAAAATTGCACCTTTAACGGTGTTACGGAGTAATTAGGTGATTCCTAAGTCATGCTCGCTTTTTAAAATTAATACTCGGAATTTGTCTGCGTATTACTCCTTTTGTCCCTACTTCATACAAGTATATTATTGCGGTATTGCCTCATTGGCTAAATTTGTGTCAAAATTTATAAAATATGGGATCTAGTTAGATTTATCTCATTATATCATATCATATCATTAATAAATAAAGTCGGTCTCGCAGCTAAGTCACGAGACATCGACACTTGCCATTCCAGTTTTTCGCCAAGTGTCGTACCACGTAAGTGACAAATAGATATGATTGTGATACATTTGATGCTAAGTAAGCGATTTTTGGATAGATTTTTTAAGATAATATTGTTGTATAGAGTTTTATTATCGATATACTTCTAATATATCATATATATATAATTAATCCTAACTTTTAATTATCCTATAACTGAGTTCTATTTCCATCATAAAATTCGTTTTAAAAAAAGTTTTTTAAAATAAGATCCATTTAAAATATATTTAATTTATTTAAAAAAATAATAGAGAATTAGTAAAATAAGTCTTAATCAGAAAAAGTAATTTAAGTTTAATAAATGTAATTTAAATTCGGTAAAAAAAAATTCAAGTCAATAATAAAATAGATATCTATTTACAAACAAAACTACAAAAAAGAACTATTATATAAATAAGTGATATGATAGCGTATGTCTAAATATTCTGCATTATAAAAGAGATTATATGATCATATTTAACATTCAAGCAAAAAAAATTCAATTTTTTTTTTCAACAATCCAGGCATCGCCTGGACACAAAACTAGTTACTAATATATAAAGCTAAACTTATAGCTAGGTCACGAGATAACGGCGCTTGACATTCCAACTTTTCGCCAAGTGTCGCGCCACGTTGGATAGATTTAGATAGATATCGTAGAATAAAAAAAGTTAGTTTAGAATTGTAATTTCAATCAAATTTGGAGAGAATTTTAGGATAAAATTGTTAGTTTAGAGTTTTATTTTCGATAAAATACCAAATAATAAACTTTTAGCTAGGCCACGAGACAACAACATTTGGTGTTCCAACTTTTTGCCAAGTGTCGTACCACATTGGATAGATTTAGATAGAATTTGTGAGATAAAAAAGTTAGAATTCTATTTTCAACCAAATTTGGATAGAATTTTAGGATAAAATTGTTAGTTATCATAATATTTTTTTGAGCGAAGGAAGTAATTCAAAACGTACAACATTCATTTGTAATGCCACCTCCGTTTCTGAAAGTTCGACTCACTTGCTATTCATGTGGTCAAAATAAAATAACTTTTACCACATTTTATGAGCTATACCATATAAATAAATTAGCATGTGAGATCATATTAGATTCCCCTTATTATAAATAATCCAAATATCAACTTTTTACAAATTTCACTTATACACAACTGGAGTTATTCATGGTCAAAGATGTTCATTGGAGACCGTGCAATTGCAAAGTGAGTCAAACTTTTAGGAACGGAGGGAGTATATTCTAATCGATTAAAATAATATACTTCACAATCTAATATGATTTTTTTTTACTGTATGTAGACATGTCAATCGGGTCGAGTCACAAGTCATTTTGGATTGACTCACTTCAAGTTACGGGTCAAGAAATGTTCAACCCTAGCCCAAAGTTTTGGGTTCGGGTCAATCCAACAGGCTTAGAACAATTTTTTTATTTAATTTTTTTTTTTTTGCTAATTTTTAGAAATTTCTAACATTTCATACTTTTTATTTTTTTTTTACCCGAACATTTTTCACCAATATCATTATTTGTCATTACATGCCTACTACATAGTTAAAATTGTTACAAAAGCACATCAATTCCTAAATAATTTTGCATCAATGATATATTTTAAAATTTGACATTTAGATTAAAAATCTATCTTAAAATTCATTAAATAACTCGGGCATCGCACGGGGCACAAAACTAGTATCATATTAATATCAAGTTTTTATAATTTTTACGCGTATAGCGGTATAGGAATGAAAATATGTACAATTTAAGACATTTCATGGAGTTTGTGAGAAGTCAAATGAAAAAAAAATAAAAAAAAATATAGGGACGAAGAAGTAATGACTAATGAGAGAATTTAAAAAAAAAAAAATTACTCCCTCCGATTTTTTTTAATTGCAACTTTGGTGTGATTTGCGGTTCACGAGGCAAAAGTTAAGGGGCATGTAGTAGTGGGGTTAATTAAAGGTGATATAGTGTGTGGAGAGAGAAAGTTTGGCCCACCACTTGGAAAAGTAGTGGAAAAGTAAGGGTAAAATAGTAATTTTCAGGGATTTTGTTTACCTAAAATAGAAAGTTGCAATTAATTTTGAGCGGACTAAAATGACAAAAGTTGCAATTAAAAAAAATCGGAGGGAGTAGTATTTTTGTATGTGGATTTTAGTATAATAAATAATATAATAAGATAAATAAAAAATAAAGATCACCGTTGTAAAATGAGAATCGAGAGAGAATAGAGATGTGTCTATTATTGCATAGAGTAAGGGATATATACATGTACAATAGATAAGTTTTTTTAGACAACTTTGTTAGATCACAAGGAAATGTGATTGATATCAACAAAGATCTCGAGGATTTTATCTATTTAAATCCTTGGGAAATGGTTTCGTTCATTAGGGCAAGGCATACGGATTTTGGGCAATTTCCCTCATCTCAGCAACATTCATCGACTTTTTGTTGTATGTTCAGAAAGACCTTGAACCACACGAAGCATCATCACCAACTTCCCCCCATTCTATCAGTGGTCCCATCACATGTTTAAATGTAAGTTCGTAAGCCTTACTGCGTTCACTCGTTGTAATACTTTAAAAGTAAATGTCGTTAATGACCTTAGTTGATGTTTGCGTAAAGTGCTCTTATGCCTATAGTAACTTATGTTACTTTGTTCCTTTCGTTTGTTGTGAACTCAATTTAATTAATGTAATTTCAATCGTTTTCAAAATAAAAAAAATCTAATTTTTTTCTACAAACAATTGAAACAAACTTTGGTGTGTGAAAATAGTAATTACAAAATGGAAAGATAAAGGAAAACTAATACTAGTACTTTTTAAAACAGGTTTACTTTAAATCCTTATAAGACCTGCCTTGCGCCATAATTAGACGATCGTATCAAGACCAGCTCCATTTATTATTAGAAATCTAGGGATGTTAAAAAAACCCGACCCGTTTAACCCGGCTCGACTACCCGATGACCGGCAAAGCACCCGATGGGTAATTGGAGTATTTTTTGTCGATTTTTTGGGTCGGGTACCAGGCCCGTTAAAAAACTCATGTGACGGGTCGGGTTATGAGTTTTGTTATCATCAAATGGGTGTAACCCATGCGTTAAATAAAAAAGGGTCTAACCCATTATTGTTGGGTTATTAAGGGACATTATTGTTGGGTTTGAACTTTGAAGTATATCATATTGGCTTGGGCTTTAAGTTCTGTTGGGCCGTTGGGGTGAATTATAACCCATTTAATAGACGATCGTATGGCAGTTGATGTTATTTTAATAGGGCTCCAACACTACCTCTCTCTCAGTTCTCCATTGAAGCTTGAATCGCAGTTCAAGTTCTCCATTGTTCAAGTTCTCCGTTGAATCGCAGTTCACTTTCTGATACTTGCCTTCCCCATTGAAGCAGCTTTTGATGTAAGTTGTTCGTTTTGTTATCATCATATCAATTTCATAATCTAGGGTTTATCTTTGATCTAATCTAATTTAATTGTCAGTGCATTAAGTTTAGGGTTCGAAAATCTGAACTATTGTTTCTATATTCTAAGATTATGAAACATCATAACCAGCGATTATTTTACCAGAAAGGAAATTGTAAGAGTAATTTGATTATTGAATCAAATATCCCTAAAATTATGTTCTTTTTTTTTTAACGTAAATTTTTTTTTATGTATTTTTCGAGATAATTGAATCAAATTTGGTTGATAATGTATTGCACAACCCTTTAATTTTAGGATTGAACTATGAATTTAACGCGGATATTTTTTTAAGCGGGGAGTTTTTTAGTCAATTTTCGAGTTTAATATAGTAATTTTAATTGTTCAATTTTTGCAATTTGTAATTTGTGAGAAGAATTTTGTGTGAATATTTGAGTCTAAATTGATGTTTTGCGTTGTTTTCAGACGGACCATCAATCATGGTGGTCAAAGTGTTATCTGGTGTTGCTGAACCTGATATGACGAGCAAGAAACAGCGATTAAAAGTTCTTGTTAAGAAGCCTGCAAATGGTATTTTTCCCAAAATACCTAAAGTTAACTGCTTGAAGAAGCCGCGGATTGTTGATGATGCGAGTGAAGTCGGTACTAGTGTCGAAAATTACATGTTGGGAAATAACTTCCGTGTGCTTGGAGTATGTCCGTTGTCAAAGCAAGTGCCTAAAGTGGACTGTGGGTTTGAGAAATTGTCGGGAACTTTCAATCAGACAACACCTGTGGTGATTGGCAATAAGAAGGTTAACTCTACTGTTGGATTCAAGCGAAGATCAGAGGAAGTGATCAAAGGTCCTGTATTGAAGAGGTTGAAGTTGGACCGCTCTGTGACATTACTTTGCCAGGCTGTTCTTGAAAAGCTGATGGATAATCCGCTGAGTGTCCTGTTTAGCGTCCCTGTAGATCCTGTTATCTGGAATATTGACGACTACTTTGACATCATCACGAATCCTATGGATCTGGGGACCATTAAGCAGAAATTGCTGCAGCATAGATATGAACGCTCTGAAGAGTTTGAGGCTGATGTGAAACTGACGTTTTCTAATGCAATGTTATACAATCCTCCTGACCATTATATTCATCAGCGTGCGAGTTCTCTCATCAGGGTGTTTGATCGTCTTTGGGAACCTGTAAAAATAAAATTGCATGGGGAGCACAAAGATATAAGGCAAAGGTCTTCTCATCTGCATAAGAGTGCCTGTCCTTTGTCTTCATCAAAGTTCAAATGTGTCGTTGCAACAGGGAAAACGATTCCTTATGATGAATTTACTGCTGTAAAGTTGAGCTACTTTCATTATCGTCTGTGGTCTGAAGAATTTATAGGAACGAACTTATAATAATGGTTACTTTGTTTAATATATATACTATATTCATATATAGATGAAAATCTTGGTGGTGGGTTTTAACAGTTTTGAATGTGCAGGATAAACATACTTCAACATTGCAAATGGGTAGCATTGGTCAAGATTCTGCAAGTACTTTTATGGATTTAGAACGTGGCTATGCTAGTGCTCCTTCTACAAGTGGCTCTTTTGGTGCTGCTGCTCCTTCTACAAGTGGCTCTTTTGGTGCTACCGCCAAAGGTCAGTGTTTAAAATCCTAATAATATCAAAATGTAATTACGGCTGCATGGAGTTTGTCAGCATACTCATTTTGTTGTTCTGTAGGCTTGGAAACTATATCAGATGTTGAACTCTCTCCATCAAGAGCCCTGCGTATTGCAAAATTGAAGAGTCGGTATGCAGAAACCATAATGAAGGCCCAAAATCACACATTGTTGGAACCTGTAATTGCCAAATCTTAGTTTCTAATCACTTGGAAAGTTCAGTCTTTTATTTGATTTCTGTTATTGGCACGCTCAGAAATACATTCCATTTGCAAATTTACTGATATGTACTTTTCAAACGTTTAGGGTGCTGAAGCTGATAAAACAAATCGGCAGGAAGAGAAGAAAATAATGCAGAGGCGGCAACATGAAGGTGAATATGCATTCATTACTATCTTCTGTGCGGTTGAATACATGAAGTTTTAACTTCAGCCTTCAACTGCAACTAAACATGCTATTCATTTCACAGAGACAGCTAACATGAATGCAAAAATAAGAGCTGCCAAATCAGCTGCGCGATCAAGAGAAGAATCTAAACTCAAAAAGCAAAGACAAGAAGCGAGGGAGGCAGCCCAAATGGCCATTAGAAAGGTCAGTTAAACTTACATAACCTTCAGAAGTTGTATGGTTGTAGGTTGTGAGATTTTTGTTGTTAAACTCAACCCTTTACTCTTATGCAGATGGAACAATCTGTTAATGTTGATAACAACCTTCAAGTTATGAGGGATCTTGAGGCTTTGGTTGGGACCTCTTTGGTAGTGATGTGTCCTGATCTTACATCTCGTACTATGTGGAACTATGAAGGCACTAATAACCTTAGGAGACCATTGGAACAGTTGGGTCTATATATAAAGGAAGAATACAGTGTCGATTATGATTTTGATGATGCCTTTTTAGAGGAAGAACGGGAAGAAGGGGAGTTTGTTCTTTGAATTATTAGAGATATATGTATAGACAGACAATGTAGTTAACTTTCAACTTTGAGGCTTGAGGGTTGGTACAAGGGAAGTAGGGAACCCTTCCTAGAAGGTGGCTCTTATCCAATCTCTCTCCCTCATAGTTTTGTATATGATTCTTTGACGGTTATGGTTACGGTTTTTTTGACCCCATGAAGCTGTAGAGGGTTGTGGTTTTAGTGGTGTACTCTGTTTCAGCTCCATTGTTTATGACTTAGTATATATGTTAGTTGCTAGCAGCATATAAATAGCCTATTTTTTGTATAGTGGGAACTAATACTGAACTTTGTTGATTGCTATGGAAATATATTAGTATAAATTTTTTTTGGTGCAATTTTGTGCATTTTATTTATATTCTTGTATTTTTTTCCCCTCCTCTTTTCTATAATTCTATATCTGTTTGTAGTACTTTCTGTTCAAAGCCGACACTTGTAGTAAATTTATTATTCTTCTACTCATACACTCCTTCCTTTGGGGTAATTCTCTTCCCAGCACAAGGTTTATTGAATAAACAAATATGTTTGTGGGGTCCGCTTGAAATAATTGATGTAACTTTATACGAAGTGCAAGTATTGGTGTATAATATACAAATACGCGCGTTTTTAATTTCCCGTTGCAAAACAGTGTCCCGTTTGAAGTCTGCTTTACCAATTTTGCTTGTAATTGAATTGAAGTTGTTCATTACTCCAGTTCGTCTTCCATCTTCTCCTCTAATCCTGTGAACCTAAATTCTTCCATATCTTCTCATCTCCTCTTAACCTATAATTTCAACCTAAATTCAGTATCTAATTTGGGGAAAATGTGTATTTCTCCTCCCTGATTGTGTCGCGCGATTAGGGTTCGTGTGTAATTGAATTTCAATTTTGGGCGTTTGAAGGCGTCGTTCTGGTTGATGCGAAGCCGTTTGAATACAAGCCGTATTTGGAATCCAAAACATTGTAAGTGTAAATTCGACTTTTTTTTGTTGAATGGGATAATTAGTTGAAGGTTTATATTGTTGAAGGCGTATATATTATTTCAATTAATGGGTTGAATGTCTGTGTATTAATTTATTTAAGGCTGGTTTATGAGTTGATTGATGGCATTAATTTGCTTGATATGCGATGAAACTGGTTCATGAGTTAATTCGTAGCATTCATTTGTTCGATATGCGATGAATGTGTCTGTATGTGTTGGTGTTGGTGTTGGTGTTAGTGTTGGTTTAGGTGTATATTCCAAATATTGTTAGGTGTATATTGCATATATTGTTAATGCAGTTGTAATCACCTCTACTTTTTGATTTGTTTAAAGGCTTACTGGTTTGCTCACTATCAAATTATAATTACCTCTACATAAAGTTCAACAAAAAATCACACGAATTTCTGACTTTACAGGTAGTTTCTTGATAAGACCAGGCTGCCCAAGCCTATGATCAGTAAACAGCAAACATCGAAAGACATGCATTATACTAAACTTATCTGCATTTTAATTGATATATCCACATCTCTTATCAAATTTGTTCTATATTTTTCATCCTCTAATTTACAAATGTAGAGGTTGATCAAAAGTAGAAGGGGCTAAATTCACCAAAGTGAGGATTCCACTATGAATCTATGATACTATCATGGTCGTTTCTTTTCTTACAGTTTGCTTTTGAATACTGAATCATCTGTATGCTGCTCCTATTGTACAATGTACAGGGCACCCGGTACACTTAACGATTACACAAAGTTAAATACCAATAACAACCTGTGTCCCTGTTGTAGGGAATATAAACCCTCTGCCCCTTTTCCGAATGAGCCTTTAACTCAAGACTGACTAACTCAACAATAAATCAAAGCCGGTCCATCAAATAACTGACTATATTATAGGCTTGGGCAGCCTGGTCTTATCAAGAAAATACCTGTAAAGTGAGAAATTTGTGTAATTTTTTGTTGAACTTATGTAGAGGTAATTACAATTTGATAGTGAGCAAACCAGTAAGCCTTTAAACAAATCAAAAAGTAAGAACCAAAAATAGCTTGAGCTGGAGAATTTTACTTGTCTCACTGCCTCTTTTCCTTTTGCTAGGAAAAAAATAAAATACAGGAAAGCATGGGAGATCTTAGCAAATGGGTGTCTAATTCATTGCTGCACAAGCTTGAATCATTGCCAACAGTTTCCTCAAATTGTTTGCTATATCTTTAATTAAAGCATAGTTTGTATTAATAGGTCTTTCTCATATTAATTTTAATGCTTCTTAATATTATCTTCATATGTATCTATTTATTTCATATTAGTTGATAGTTGAATGGTCTAGCAACTGTTGTTTCTAGTTTGGCAATTAGTTTTTAACACTTTTAAAATGGACTATTATTGGAATGGTAATGTTACCAGAAGTTTGGTTGTTGTATCTATTTGAAACTTTGAATGAACTGTCAACGATCATGTACTTTGATCCTTGGATGTGTTCTCTGTTGGTTTTGCAAGTCCGTAACAAGTAAGACCAATGAAAGTATAACTCTTTTTTATTTATTTCCTCCTAGGGAGGGATACTTCAAGCTGAACTCTGATGGTGCGTGGCTGCGCAAGGATGATGCTGGTGGGGGAGGGGCAATTCGGAGATCCAATGGTACCTGGTATGTAGGATTTTCTGGGAAATACAACGCAGTTAATCCATCAGCAGCAGAGCTCTATGCAATTAATGATGGATTAGCAATGGCTTTGGACTTGGGAATTAAGAAGATAGAGGTTGAAACTGACGCAAGCTCCTTGGCGCACTATGCTCCTCACAACTGCTGAGAATCCACATCATGAGTTAGCAGCAGCAATTTGTGATGTTGCTCATCTCTTTAGGTGCTTCCAGGATGCTAGTATCTCTCATGTTCCTAGAGAGAATAATGTTCTTGTTCATAAGCTGGCTGCTTTTGGAATGGAAATGGTCGTTGGGTACAAGACCCATTATCTCGTCCCAGACTGCGTTAAGGAGGTTTATGAAGCAGGGCTCCCTGCTGCTGCTCATGAAGCTTAGTTCTAATGGTGCAAGGTTCGTCTCGGCATGGCTACTTCAATCTTTTGGATAACTTCGGTTGGTTTAAGTAGGCCTAGTTACAGTTGTAGTGCTACAATCCTTCTAATTAGCTATCTTTTGCACACCACCAAATTTTGTATGTACGTCAAGGTGGTGTTTGTAATTAACAAACTTGGCTTTAGCCATTTAATATAAGTATCTTTCTCTTTGTGTTAAAAAAAAGTTCCTATCCTAAAATGATTTGTTGCGAAACAAACAAAGATTAATAGTTGATAATCGATAGAGAAGGATAAAAAGAAATTAGTATACTTAGAAAATATAGTAAAGACAATGAGTTAAGACCATAATCAAATAGATATCATATAATATGGTCATTATTCATTTACATTGAAAGGTAGTCTTATAAAAGCTACCCTTTAGTTACTATTGTCAAAGTTTTATATTATCGTCACCATATATTATATATGGTCATATGAAATAAACTATACTGTTATTTGAATTATAACTTTGTGTTCAATAATATATGGTCATATGAAAAGTTCTCTTATTGACATCTACCTTTAATCCTTTATACTATATCTCAGTTCATAAATTTTTGTCATCTTGATATATATGTAGTCCATTTTATAAACTGAAATCATCTTAAAATATATATTGTCAATAAAACTACACTAGTTTGGGGCCATTCATTGAAAATGAAAGGTACTCTTACTAAGCTACTCTTATAGTCCCTCTGTCCTTATTTTTTTGTCCCAATAATCTATAAGATATAATATAGTTATATACGTGAAATCTTGTTGGCTTCGTTTTAATAATTATTTGTACTTGTTAGTCCCATATCCCATTTTGGACGTTTCAATAATATCTACCCATATTTAATATATTCCAACTTAACTTATATTTTCTTCCTATATTACCCATATTGAATATATTCAAACCTTGTAAATTTAAGGTAGATTGGTTAATAAAATGTGAAAAAAAAAATTAATTGGTTAATTAATTGATTATGGATTGACGACATGGCTTTAAGTCTCTAAGGAAATTACTCACTTGAATTATGCAATTATGGCTGATGCTTTTCCAGAAAAAAAAAAAAAATTCAAAAAACTTAAATAAGACAAAACTAATTATGAATTGTTTTTGTACTTTAACGTTAGATTCCAAAAATTCTTATTTTTCGTGATTGATTCCATATAGAACTATCATGTGAAAACGGAGGGAGTATATGCTTATACCTGGAGATATATACATTTTCACACGTCTTTTAAATCATGAAAAGTCAAAAGAAGTAAAAAGAAATAGGGACAAAGCTAGTACTATACTTCATTTTATAAATTAATCGCACCTTAAAATATAAATATTGTCGTATATCCCAAACTATAGTCATTTGAACTATAGCCTCTGGTCATTCGTATTCCTATTAGCTACCCTTAAAGTTACTATATGGTGCAGTTAATCAATTATTGTCAATTTATAAAATATATAGTCACTAAAATCAGTAATGTTGTCATTTGAACTATAGCTTTTAGCTACCCTTTATACTTATATATATAATGCAATTTCTCAACTATTGTCAACTTATAATATAAAATATATGGTCACTAAAATCAGTAATGCTGTCATTTGTATTATAACTTTTAGCTACCCTTATACTCCATACTATATAGTGCAGTTTATCAATTAAAAGCAAATTTCCTATAATGACATTTGTATGTCTTATATTGTCATTTGCTTTTAAATTGCAAAAATACTTTATATAGTCATTTATAATAAGCTATATTGCCAAACGTGTAAGTTATATGGTCTACGGAGTATATACAAAAGTTACAACAATCATTTCTCCCTTCTAAATTGCAAAAATGGTATACCCATCAGGGTAATCTTCAACCTGTAGATATATAACAATACATAATTTTCATATAATATTGTATGTGAATTACAATAATTAATTGGACTAAGTTTACCAAAATTACAATATATACTCGAACCCAAAATTACAATATAATGCCGAACTCAAAATACTTGTTGCCAATGGTTCTTGTATCCAGCAGTCCACTAATGTCCTCCAATGCTTTTTCGTTTGCATACAGATACTTTATATCATCAGCAGTAGAAACCTTGTAATCCTTTGTCCAGCATGTACTTCAACTTGTCCTCAGACACCTAAACAGAGTTACAGTAAAAAGAAAATTCTAACAGAGTTAACCAATTCTGGCACTCTTAGGAGTCAAGTAAAGAATTCACAAAGCCAACCCAAATTGTCCCAGTTCCATCACACATATAATGTGCATGTGCTTGACTAAAAGGAATTGGTGAGAGAACATAGGAGATATGGAAGGTGTTAA